AAGAAGGGAGGCAGGGGAGAGAAAAACACACCAGTCCGCCGGCGATTCTTCTTGGAGATTTTTCGGCCCCGCTGGAGCCAGCTGTGGCTTGGCTTTCTTCAGCTCCTGTTCTTATCGAAGACCTCAAGACAGACAGAAGGGGAATGTGGCCCCTCGTCCCCTCGCCCACGCCCTTGTGCCCACTCATCCTTGCATGACCTACCCCAGCCCTGCTGTTCAGCTCATCCCTTTCCCACCCCCACATCTTCTCTAAAGCACTTCTTTTCACAGCCAACAGCATTTTCTTCTGAGCATCGAAATTAACTCTCTCACGACTTACACCCAGATATCTTCTCTAGAAATGTTGCTAATTTATAAAGCACCCTGAGCGTGACAGAATGAAAGGGAGAAGAAAACTGGGTCCTTGATATTGTTGATCAACTGAATTAGCCAAACCTGGAAATTCTGACTTCTTATCTCTTGACTATTTTCCTCTCATTGGTTCGGAAAGTCAAGGGTTGTCCCCTTTGTCTGAATACATCCTTTAGTCCCCAGTCCAGTTACGCACATATCAGTTACTTAAACATTCAAGTGTACCTACCTACCCAATATCAGTGTGTACAGGGTAAGTCAAAAGGAAATGAACACTTTCAAAAGTGTATTACTCAGGAACTAGGTTTTATAGGAATATGTACCAAAATTGGTTGAATTCAGAGTTTTTTCTATAGCTATATAAATGCTCAATTTGTGTCCCTCAAGACACATGACATACTTCAATCTAGTAGGCTGATAATTACACCTCAATTCATCCTAGAACCTTTGTTGCATATTGTTGGTGGTGGCTGAAATGGAGCCACAATGCTTCCCTCATATCCTCCAGACTATGAGGAGGAGGGGGGACAAATATGAGGTTCCTGACTTATCCCCACTAGATGCCACATGGAGTGACGTCTGGGGTTTGGGACTGCAGTTCCAGAGGCAGGTCAATGCTTTGAACTGAGCACTGTGGAAGGTGTTCTCTCAAGGACCTCTGGACCCTACAATTTACCTAAAGTAGAGCCCCTTCCTGCTTGAAAATGGAGTTGTCAGAAACTTCCTGCAGCTGTGGACAAAGCCACTCAGGTATCATGTCCAGAGATGCAACCCCATCACTGTGTTCTATGCAAAAAATGGGTGGACCATGTGAAAAATAGAGAGAAATTCTGCAGTTTAGTGCATAATACGTGTTCATAAACAGCTTACTTGCTAAGTAATGCAATTTGAAACTTTCAGTACTTTCTGAATCACTCTGCGTATCACAGAATGCTGCCTTTTCTCCTCCAGCTTTGGCGCTGCCGTCTATGTTCTCTAGAAACGTGTGGCTGCATGTTTCTCTTTCAGTGGGTGCTCCCTAGGACACGACTGGGTCTGTGGGATTCCCTCTGAACAGCATCACCCTGTGCCGGGGCTTGCAGGCTTAGGCACTTAGTTTTAAGCTTTTGATAGGTGATGACAAAAGCCTACATCCCTCATTCTCATCGGCCAGCTCCACCCAGGGAGGCAGAGAAACAAGGCAAATCCTCCTGAGGCAGATTTTCCATGAGCTCACGCGTCAGGGGTTCCCTCCTGCCCTCTGCCACTCTGGGCCAAACGCAGTTCAGATGAACCCCTGGGCCTTAGACTAAAGGCCTTCCTCATTCCCTGGCAATCAGAGCGCACCAGGCTGTAGGAGGCTCTCCTGGAAGTGAGTAGGGGCTGGGCTCAGCAACCTGCTGGGGAGGTCGGCTGTCATTGGAGTTACTCACACTGCTTGCTTCAGTTTCTCTCACAGTTCCCTGAACTATCATTCTTTGCTCTAATCTTGTTATGAAGGTCTGGCCTTCCCCACCCTGTTACTCTGGGAAGATATAACTCCCCTGGGCTCCACGATAGAACATGATGTCGGGTCACTGGGGAGATTTCATCTGAAAAGTCAATTATCTAACCACCCAGTGTGTCCCCACGGCCTGTGAACACACCCCACTCCTGGAAGCCAAAGCAGAGGGCTGGACTCTAGGAGAAAAGAAGTACAGCCCAGCTCGGCGGGACAGGGGCAGTCTAAAAGTGAATTAGGAATCTCAGAGGGTGATGGGAAGAGCGGAATCAGAAAGGGATCTGCCACAAGGTCCCTTCTCTCCAACTCCTCCTTTATTGTCTTAGGAGCTCTCACCATCTCCCATGGGCCTTCTCAGCTGGCCTCATTCATGGTCAGGGTCACTGGAATTGGATCCCAGGGCATCATTCCCTGGCAGGTGATAATGGGAATTTTGGAAAAGAAGTATATCTTTATATATAATATATCATGTATAATATGTATATTAGAGAATGTCTTACAAATCTACCAATATGAGAAATACTTGTGTCAGGGAATTGAACCCGATACTTTAAATTGCTGGTGCTGTCTGGTGCTCACACCACACCAAACCTGGGATTAGATTAATATGATAGGCTAGATGGTTGAATGTGAGGTTCATGCTGCAATTAAATTATATGCTTCATCAGAAATGAGTCCACCCCAACCTGGAAATAGATAAAAGTGATACTGAAGGAGGAACTGATCTGGTCACCTGTGCTGATTGATGGCAGCCTGTCCCTGGGTGTACAGTCCAGAGGACAGGTGAGGACCTAGCAGAGGATGGTGGAGGGAGCCTGACTCCAGAGAAGGGAAGGAACGCCGTGCTGAGCTCCCACCAAGGACTCTGATCCTCCCTCCGACTTACATCCCAGCAGCTTGGACAAGGGGCTGCCTAGGCAGCTGGCTGTGAATGACCTCTACGTCCTTACT